TTAGACGATCTCGTAGCTAAGTCTCAAAAAACTGAAATATTCTAGATTTAACAAGTACATAATCACACAATCTTGAGTTTAAAATTTAACAAGAATGGTATATTGCACACTAAAATATTTGATAGTACACACGTTAAAAACTTGAAAATGAAAATCAATGTTCCTGAGTTAACAAATCGGTTATATTTACACATTACAACACTAGTAATATTTTTATTTGAAAATATCACATAGTATGATTATTAGTCAATGATTCCAATAATCATAATATAGATTATTGACGAATATCTTAAACTGTAAAAACTTGATTTGAAACCGTCTCTTTGTTAATGTTAAGAAATGAAATTGATTAATCTGAACTGGCATATTTGTAACCTGTGCGGATTGACTCCTTATTCCCAATGCTCTTTAAAGAAAGCTTTTAGATATGTTACTAGTCACATTATATATAACGTGTAAATTAATCTCTTGTATTCTAATAAATTGACATTAATAAGTTTGGTATTAAACAGATTTAAGCGTGTTTACAAGTCAGTTATTGATATTTCACACCTGACTCTTCTATTTAATTCAGTTAATTATGGTTAATACATAAATTATTTGGAACCTAAATTAAATTTCTTAGATAATCTGTGTGCATTTCTTTAAATTATTAGATCGGTCAGAAATAATAAAAATGATTTTTCTGATCAACAAATACACATCGACTTGTGATATTTTGTATCATGTAAATCACTCTAACAAAATGCAGTTCCAATAGCTAATAAGGTTTTCGTAAGAAAAAATGCCATTTACTATGAATAAGAACTGAAAAAACAAATTCATAAAATATTGACCAACTTTCAGTATATTTATGTCAAAATGGTCCTCATAAATGGAGTTTTGTAGTATTAACATATTGATGACAGTTTACCTGGACCAGTGATCGATATCAGGATATAAAATCTTGGTTTCCTAACTTTTAAAATCAACAGGGGCTCAGTAATGCTCATTTACAATCATGAATACATATAAATCCATATATTTTGATTACATTGAATCTATTGTCCTAAACATATTAAAATATAAACGAGCCTAATAGAGTTATGAATATCGGTCTGTCTTAGTTTATGACTCTTCATCACCATACGATCACTATCTCACATACGATTTAGTTGTACATATAAATATTGGTAAAAAGGCCACCGAATACATGTGCGCCACACAAGTCACTTGATTTCTATGTGGGCTGGGATACTTTCCGGGTGCTCAAACCGAAGCTGGTGGTTTTCTTAAGGGGCCACACTCCGAGACTTCGACCTAAAGTTCTGATCAACGAAACAGTGGAGCAACGTCAGAAGATGCATTTCCATGGTAGCCGGTGACCAATAATTTGCTCAAAGGTCACTTGTTTCCTTCAGGATCCTGGAGCTCATGTGCACCATTGGTTTGGAATCAGGGTTTTCCGACTCACCTAAGTGGATCCTACATACCTACTAACTCGGTTAAAGAGCCTGACATTCGCTTCTTGTCCTCTTAATTTCGTAAACAACAACCCCACTGCGAGAAGGTAATGAGTAGGACTTCCATAGCAGTGGTTGTATGCACGTGGCCATGTGAGAGGAGTTTGAGAGGAAGATCTGACTCTTCCCACTCTCGGCCGTACCAGGGCACTTGGTCCACAATTCCAAATCTAATTATAGTATGACGTTATCATCTTCTATGCCAAGGCGGGCCTAGTTCACTATGAAATTTTAAAGAGAGCAATAACAAAAATTGGTGCAGAATAATATGAATTCATTTTATTTCGTTAGGTTCTCATCAGCTGCTTACAACCTAACGAAATAAAATTAATTCATATTATCCTGCACCAATCTTTGTTCTTGCTCTCTTTAAAATAATAAAGGGAACTATGTGAATGAAATTTCACTATGAAATGTCTAGGTTTATTTGAGCAAATCTTTTAGGTCAAATTACGCAAATAATGTTTGTTAAGTAAGTAATATCTATGCACAAAACCTATGCCATATCAAACATTTTAAGTAACCAGCATGAATTGGGACTGATTACAATTTCTTTAATCGAAACGTGATCGACAAAAAAGCTTGTCCTATATACATTTATATGTATATATATTTATATACTCTAGATGACTTAATCATGATTACTATTTTCCTGTATCAATTTACTAAAATGAATTTAATTTTCGAGCAATATTAGTTCTGCCCTATTTATAACCTTGTATCTGAATTCTGTGGATAGGTACATTAATTTTCATAAGCAATTACCAAATTTGACAACCATTCAAATATTTTATCATACAGTTATTGATATAGAGTATTTAACCGCCGAAACTAATCCTAACTGACGACAGACTGCTCTCATATTCAAAAACATTACACTTTACTGAGAATACTTGTTTTAGTAGACATCATAGTATAGTAATAATGTTATTATTGTTTTGTAACTTTAGTGATGGAAATTTAGAAGTTAACATAAATGGTAGGTGGTTGGAACCAATCGGTATTAATTATTAACCAACGTTTTTAAACTAGTTGGAACTCATTAGTTGGTACAATTTTCTCCTCACAGAAGACTAGACAATCACGATAACAGTAACTAATCAGTGACCAATTAGTGTCATAGTAATCGATTCTATTCTATTTAACAATTATGTTGTTTATTAATCTTATGAGAAAGATTTCATATCTTGATACTTTTATATAACTCATTAGCTGTTTTAATTCAAATTTCAAAGAAAAATATTATTTTGTAAATGAATTACTCGTACTCATTACACTAACAACCTGAAATTTTGTCAATTAAAATTAACTGGAAATAAATAAACTTTCATTAAAAATCTTTATTCTTTGAATCCTGTCATACAGAATGTGTTCCATCAATCAAGATAACTATTCAACTTCGGCTACATTACCAAAAATTGTAAAGTTCAGATAGATCTCCTCAAAAATCGAAAATAAAAAATACCAAAACAAAACCCTTTAATTTAAATAAAGTTTATAGATGGTGGATAAGGATTCAACCAGATAATGAACTATCAATTAACATCCATAAGACTAAACAAAGAAATTTTATCCATTATTCTACAAAGATTTGCCTGTAAAGCATCACATTGACTTGAAATTAAAGAGTGCAGTTAAACGAATGATTTTAGGTACCTTTCTTTTCAATTTCAATTACTCTATTGAATTACTTAATTCTCTAGTATCATCGAATTGATTACTAGTTCAATAGACTTTTAATTACTAACTGAAATGTTTAAAATAATTAACTTTGGAAGTAGTTATATTCATCACATTCTTTTTTTACAATCTATTTACTGTACTAAACAGTATGATTATTATTGTATGATTTATATAATTTAACTAAATTATCAAAGTTAATAATTACAAAATATTAGATTATTAGATAGAATGAACAATAAAGTACAGTGCAAACAATAGTCATAAATAAAGATGGATGGCGGCTATCAGTGGAATCAAGTTTTGTGGTGAGCGCGACGTGATGTGAACACACAGCCTTCTGATATGGAGTCAGATGTAGAGCCACTAAAGTGTAATATGAGTTGGTTCACATGCCTTTTCCACTGCGCATCATTTCGTTTAGCTCACTCTTCCTCACTTCATACGCCGCGATTCTCTGATTATCTGTTCCGATCAACGAGTGTACAAGATATACATATTCAAACATCCATTCTTATATTTGACTTATTTAATTCCGTTATTCACCAGTGCGAGTTAGGTCGATAATTATATAGGAAGATTGACGACATGTATATTTCAATAACATTCATACGATCCAACTGGAGTCAGATCTCGGGCCACAAAAGTGATATTTAGACAAGCGTACCTTAATAATAATGAAAAACGATATAACTGGAGTTAGATATAAGGCCACTAAACCAGGACGCGCGTTTCGTACGATTTGGGACTTGTCGGCTGGATTTACCTGAATCCTACAGTTGATGTTCACTCCGGGACTTGGATTGCAATCCTAAACATCAATGAGAAGATTCAAACAAACAATTTAAAATGAATTAATAGTTGTAAACGAATTCACATTTTAATGTTAAGAATACCGTATAAATTCTCTTGAATTCTTACGAAACATAATAATGTCACTAACAGTTTTTTTTCTTTTTAAGTTGATTTATCAATAATAAAATGTGAAACACAATCACAGAATGACCTTGAAGTCACTAATTCCAAATCTGTCCTGGTTCAAGATTTTTCTACATTTATTCATTGAATAGGATGACATAAAGTTTATTAGTTTGAGTTAATTATAACTGGTTTATTTATTCATATTTCATTATAAGCTTGTATAGTTGGATCTTATTTGAAAAAAAAAGACAAAAATTGGGAGTTAACTAGCAAAAACTAAATGGTTTAAAAATTAACCCTGAATTCACATGTAAGACACTAAGATTATTTACTGTGCAGGATAACTTTCCAAATTCAACTGTGATTGAAATGATCAATACTTTCTTCATTGTGCGTCCATTTCAAATCTTACAATTATACACTTCATCATGAACGTTTATTATTGTAAAGACATTAAATGAAATTATTATCATTTCTATATCAAGTCAAACAATAATTTAACAATAATTAAACATCAAACAGTAAAGTGATCCATTCAAACCTTTTTAAAAAAATTGTCAATCCTTAAATTGATCATAATGAAATTTTATACACTTTCATATAAAGTTTTCAATCATTTATGATTTCATATTAAAGAGTGACCCAAATTAAACAGGCATTGGAAATCACCAGAGATCAGGAACTCAGGACCTGATGTGACCGTGAATGCACATTACAGAAATGTTCGATACTACTATAAAATAGCTGTCCATAACTTTTTGGTTTTCAATACTTCATTAACTAAAGCCAATCTGTAATGTATAATGACAACATTCAACAATCTCCATAACCAACTTTATCTATTATTTCTGTATTCGATTGGTTTCTTCTTGTTTTTTCTGTTTCTCTCTTTAATAGTAAAATAATGAAACAAGATGAAGAATTGCACAATTTAGTCGAAGAACTCGAGCTACAAGTTAATCAAGAAAAAGAACAATTAAAACAAAAGGTAAACAGTTAACTTTGATGTATGTTTGTTTCTCCCTGTATATAATTCAATAATAATGAATAGTCCATCGTACCAATTAAAGCACCAACAAAGCATAATCAAATATCTCGCGTTATTTCGTATAATTTAAAATTAAAAGCTCACATTATTATATACATAAAAATATAAGGTTAAAATACACCGATATGCACATGACAAGAATATTTGTCATTACCAAATTGATGATTAGTTTATTGTAATTTTTGGACAATAAAAGAAAAAAATAACATTTAGTGAGTTAGTGAATGCCCTCAATTGGATATTATGAAAATTAATAGACTAATTATTTAATAAATACACACTGAGAATACATATATATTGGATATCAAGAGGATAGCTTTCTAAGTTTCATAGGATGAACATTTGTAGTTTAGGATGAGAATTTGGACGGTGTTATATTCGCTAAGCTAATTAGTTTCTAATATATTTGATACACTGTGTAATATATCAGTTCAATGTTATGCTTTATGGAGGTAGTTGACAGGAAAATCTAGATTTCATATGACTACTTGTCACCAATGTAAAGTAACTGCACATTCAAATTATGTGACTAATTTTTTGGATGAATGTTTTTTACATTTTTATAGATATCTGAAAGTATACAGTTTAACTATACTTTAATTCAATGTTATATTTTCAATCATTCTTCATTATTTCTGCCGGTTTTACTCATATCCGTTTTAGTGATTTTGCCATCACAACATTTATCAGTAATAATCTGTTGATTTTGTGTCTATTCACATTTATCAGTAGGATTCAATTGCATGTTGATCAGAATGTATACTGACCTAACGATTATAATCTTTAAAATTATATAATCAAACTATATATTGTACTGTTTTATTGTATGTAATGTGAAGAAACATTACATCGTGTATTTTATGCTACATGTTACATGAACCTTTAATTTCCGATTAATATACAAACATACCGATAACATACATAGTCGTATTTAAATATTTGTAGTAAATTCTATATTATAAGTGTTTTTAATACTTTCATGAAATAATCTTTAATTTTTCTCCCTGTTTTTATAAAGGAAGAACTCAAGGAAAGAGAACTGAAAGAAGAATTAAATAACAAAGTACAGGAAAAAGAAAAATTGTTAAATGACCTTGTACAACAATTTGAAAAAGTAAGGTATTTAAAATGTGCGTTCACATGATCAATAGTTTGTAGTACATTCACCTGTGAAGGGGATCAATTTCGATTTGAATACCTTACAACTAGTTTTAATTAATCCTATATCACACGAAGAATTGTAAAACCTTTGTTTATTGAATATTTAAAAGAAATAATATCTATATTTTTGCCTAAAATTCCCATACAACATAAGTTTTCGAACATTACTTATATTGTTCAAGATTAATCACAAGTTGTTTTGTAACAATTCCTTACTTTCTCCCTTACACATGCAAACTTGAAAGAAAAAACTTACCGGCTGAGCACTCATTAGTGTTCCATGTAAAAGGTAACTTTATGAGAGCCTACAAAGTATTAACATATTAGTTTGATAAGAATGTATCTTTCGACTACCAAATTTATAAAGCTGATATAGTGTAGACGTAAATGACTGGTAATTTACCAACTGAAGCTCTGCCATCTGATTTATAAAGTCTTCAAGCAGAGAATAATATTGTCCATAGCATTTAATTTTTTTGATTCAGAATGGTTACAAGACATTTAGAATGATGAAATCAGTTTGTTTTCGAATTCACTGAACGAAACTACTTCATTTATGTGTTAAGTTCAGCAATGAATTAACGAAACAGGTTACATGCAGTGAGCCTATTACATACATTTCATAATGCTAATGCAAACTTATGAGTTTGTTTTCAGTTACCCATATTTGGTAGAAAGTACTTCACCAATCATTACAAATTGATATAACCTCTTTTATGCAAGCATAATAACTTCCCCTTTCGTGATGAAAAACTACTTTTTAATATTCATCGAGCTCTTTCAATTATATTACTGATCATGTTGCATGTTTTATGAATAAATTTTACGCAACTGTGTGTAGTTCATCACAAATATTAGTTACAATGTAGTGAGAAATTTTAACGCATCCTCAAGTTTTACAAGAGGTCACTGGAGATTTGAATACTTTGATGCTCGGGTGCATGAATTTAATCCCAAATAAAATCAATTTAAATCTTTGATTCTTTTTGAAAAGTACATATTTTGGTTTAGATGATCAATAAAACAACCGTAAACGATATAAAATGAAAGGATTTCTTAACGACATTCTTCAACGATCACTTGAAAAAGAAAGAATTTAAAAACAGAAAATGATCACGTTACTTACATTTTTGAGTCACCATAATAAATTCTTGATTGAAACGTCATTAATGATCCATCTAAACTTTTAAAATCAGTCTAAAAAGTTCGAAAAATGGAGATATCGAATGTTTTGTTAAGCTTTATAACTGCGATATTATTGAAGTAACTAACTCATATGATTACAATTAAATGATAATTGTAATCGAAATTTTGTTAGGTATCCAAATGGTCTTAAAAAAATACTGTTAAAAAAAGAACTACTGAATCATTTATAATGGTGAACAGTACCCAATTTACATTTTGTTATCGAAGTGTTGATTATACAACTTATAATTGAGGATATAAATTTCGATGGGACCACAAGTTTCTTCAAGAAAAATACTCACAAACAAACTATATTAAGTGATTGGATGTAATCGATGAGAAACTCTGGACCTCGGTTTCAGGAGATCATACCTGTAATCTTGAGGTAACTATTGCTCCATGGCGGATTTGATTAAGCGTCACATGTACGGATACAGCTTGCTGACGAGTGCTAAACCTCACTACACATAGTTCCTTAGTTTTAATTTAATTACCTTCAGCTACCTATTACCTCAAGATAGTTCACGCAATATCTGGTCACTTAGAGTACTTTCCACATTACAGCTCGATAGGTAGCAAGAAAAAGGACTAGATCAATACGATAATGCTCACTACTCAGAGAAAAATCGATTCTACAAATAACCTGAATGATTCAAAACAAACAATTTAGCGGATTTCTCAAAAAAATCAAATGATAGACACCAATATTCATGTTTTATATATAGCGTGAAAGATGGTAAGATGTCCTTTCTCAGATTCCCTTCATTAGGGAGCATGAAATGAAGTCGACCGAAGCGTAAGCTTATTCTGAATATCTGAATTTCAACTGACTGAATCATAAAATTCCATCATCATAAACTGAAAACAGTCAAGGTCCTAAAATAAAAAGGTTCCCCATATGCAATATATATATATATATATATATATATATATATATATATATATATATATATATATATATATATATATACAGTTGTAAAAATGTGAGTCCAAAACTTGCCATGTCTGTTGTATTATAAGCAGCTAGAAAACTACTCTACTTCTAACACAACTCAGATATTGTAGGAATATTGAGTTTAATTCAAATTGTCAGGAAACAATATTTAAGAAAAGAACATTTTGCAGTTGACTTCGTTTATTGTACTAAATTTTTCTTTTATTTATTTGTAAGAGCTGGCAAATCATAAAAAAATACACCGGGCTAACAGTCATAACTTTGATGATCAATAAGATTCTAATGAAAATAAACATGTTGCTCCACTTCGTAAACTACGAAACTTCTTTAGGGTAAAGATTGATTTAATCGAATGTAAACTAGTTTTCATATATTATGATATGTAGTCCTACTAATGTGCATATTTGTGAAAATATATTTCATTACGAGTCAACATAAGTTGTATAAATACAGAACGTCAACTTTCACTCGAAAATTATTAGATAATACATACTAAGGAAGCAAACTGTATAGGACCCAGAATTTTATGTACTAACTATCTAGACAGTGAAGCTAGTTTTAAGATGACTTCTTGCCTTTTAGTTAGATTCCATGACCACTGAGTTCATTTCGATCTGGAGTTAAATTATAATTCAAAGATCACATTCTCAATTTGTTCTCCACAAAGTAACCTGAAGATTTGATATATTTCTCTGGGTCTGACAGCTCTGAGCTCGACCTATGGCTGGGCTTGGAGCAAAATCAATAATATTATTCAGTCGATTTTATTTAGTGATAAAAGCTATCTTTATATTTATATAAACCTAAATTATTGCTTGTAATGATCAGATTTGGAGCAAAAATATGTATATTTGTGTAATTCTTATCTTTACTAAATGATATCTTTACAGGCTTCTATCAAAGTAGAAGAACTTCAAAAGAATCGAATGAGCATTGCGCAAGAAAAAGAGAAATTATTACAAGAAAAAGAAGATCTAGAACGTAAATTAGAAGAATCACAAGAAATGTTAAATGAATGTAAAGATTATATTGATACACTACAGAAGAAAGCACGTGAAGAACGTCGACGTAGAGCAAAAGCAGCCATAGAACTTAGTGAAGGCATAGCATTAGAACGTGAAACATTAGTAAGACAACTCGATATGTTACGGTATGTCCTACTCAGTACCAGGATCAAATAAGTTTTTATGATTAACAATACTTTCATGTATGGTTGTACAGTCGTAGAGTGGGATGTGGATCATAGTTGTAAATCCACTTAGTTATAGTGTAGTGAACAAGAACACGAGTGGGGACAACCAAATGTATTTGAGCACGAAATTACAGAACATCGTACTAATATCTGAGAACAATACAATAAATGCTTAATTTACAAAATATAAATCCATTGTCTCAGATTTCATTGTTTCTGCATTTCCATACCAAATGCTTTTCGTTACCGTTCTTTCTTTCTCAATATTCTACTGAAATACATTCTATTCTTGAATATCGTTATATACTACTTATGTGGATATAAGTAGCTCACACTACAATAGTATCAGTATTCAATAAATCGTTAAGTTTATATTTATTATTTTCTCTAAAATGTATTGTCACCCATTAATTTGTATGAAATGAGGAAAAAAAATTGTAAAGGTGTACTTTATTCTCATTAATCTCAACACTACTCTTTAGAAATGGTACTAAATTCTTTTATACACAAAACATATTAACTAATTCACCTTTTGATTCATTTCCATTCCATCAACATTTTAAAGATAATATCAATAATAATGAAATGAGTAAATCTAATAATCCAAACCTTTTCACTATCAAATATACATATATATAGTTAATACGTTTATATATTTCTTATATAACTATTATACTAGTTATATATTAGACTGATTGATTAACCAAAATAAAACTAAGATGATTCAATTTGATTAACTTATAAAAACATACTTTAAATCTGAAGGTTATAAAAAAGGTCAAACATTTGTCATTTATTACATTTCCTAAATGACCAACTATTTATTATATAATATAATATAAATTACATAATTAGATGAATATTTATCATGATTCTTTGTAACTAATTTAGTAACATTTCATCAAATCAATAATCAATATAATCAATTACCTAGTATCAACTAATTTTAATCAGTGTGAAATATTTTGATAACTTTCTATCATTAGTATTTTAGTAAACTCTATGCAATAACATAAAGTATTTTTCTCCATTCATAGTCAACCTTTTTTTTCTAAATCTGATTAATCAGTTATTAATAGTGATCTAAAGCTAATTGTAGTGTGTGTGTGTGTGTAATTTTGTTTGCTTAACACCATGTTATCAGTTGTGAATGAATTGAAATTACAATAAATTACATTCCATAATAAATAAATGAACGTAGTTTAAATATGTTAAAGATACGGTTAATATGATTAAATAACTATGAAATAGCTTATGATTGATATTGCTTGTTAGGTTGTTGATTACACGAGAGTAGATAAATACATAGGAGATAAATATAACTCATTGGTTGAAGTTAGACATTAAAATTGTCGGATGCCGGCTAAGTGGTTTAATGGTTAAGCGCTCACGCGCGAATTTGGTAGGTTTTGGATTCGAGCCTCGTGGAGGGTGGGATCGTGGATGCGCACTACTGAGGAGTTTCATACTAGAACGAAACGGCCGTACAGTGCTTCCAGGTTTTCCATGGTGGTCTCACTTCAATTAACTCATAATATCAACTTCCGGGATTTCATTAACTTATCATCATAAGTTTAGATGTTGATTCCAGTTATAGTATGTTGTCATACTCCTTTCAGACATAATATTCAAGTTATGATACTATAGCAACTATCCTACAACCAATTTCGATTATGGTTAATTTTGGTTAAACCCTTTCATTAATTTACTTAACTGACAATGATATTTGAACAGTAACGATTTGCATATTTCTTTGCACCATTATGTTCACAAGAGCACATGACAGAAACTAGCTAAAATGTTAGTTGCTTAAATATCATTCGATGATTTATCCTCCTCCCGATGTATGTATGTACTCGAATCCTATCATTAGTCCTTGCTTTGCCTTGCTGAGCCATTATGCAATTTGACTATAAATTTGCCTATGTAATTGCTCGCATATACTTATTCGCCGTTCAGCTTCAAATTCACTTGATGTGCTTATAACTTTGTTATCCGCGCTATCCGCTAATAAACTGTAGTCACCGCTTCTCATCGCCTTCTGATTTTAATCACCGTTGAGATTTATATTGTAACGGTTATCGAGGTGATCGGTTAACGAAGCGAAGCCATTACAATACCATAGCATTTTAAAAGATAAGTAGATAAAGTGTGATTTCTGTAACTAAATAAGAGGTGGATAATAGTTTAGTCTGATAGGTACCATCATGACTAATAGCCTTCAACTCAAAAATCACCGAAAACCAGAGCAAATTGTGCAGCTATTATATATCTGTATAGAACTCAGTAGCGTGCACCCATGACCCCTTTGGAGGTCGGACCCATGGTCTCTAAATTTTACATCAAGGCGTTTGCCTTTAAGTGTATGATTTGAAATCCTACGTTCCATGTTCCAAACTTTAGTTAACTTGTAATATAGCACCAATATAATCAATTGTGACTGTCTCACTCCACAAAAATTGAGCCAGTATGATATTTCACAAGAAATACTTCTATGCTAGTTATCAATATAGACGAGTTCATTATTCAGATTAATCGATTGTGAAGATTAGTTCCTTGTCTGTTGTTACAAAAAGATGTAAGATTCATAAAGTGAATATCATTTGTCTAATTGATCTCTTATAGTCAATTTTCTTCCTAATTTGAAATTTGATGATAAAAATATACAGAAATAAACACTCACGATATTATACAAATCCAAGTTAATCTGTTCAAATTATCACAGTGACCATGCCATTAGTCATTTACTTTCTTAAAAACAACGAATAATTTGATGACATTATTCGAATTTCATCTTAACGGATATCTACTTATAATGTCAACAGTAATTACAGTTGCTTATTTACATTTTGGTATAAAATTCATTTGGCAACAATTCAGAAATATATTCTACTCTATTCACTAATTTACTCTTTAATAAGCATTTTAAAAAATAATAAAATTGCAATCATTATCATAACCTAATTATTATATAATAACAGCTGATGAAAATTAGTTAATACACATGAACATTATGAAGTATGTTTAACCAAAAAAACTGTTATTCCATCGTTTTAGGGTATCTGTTAAATCATTACTAAATATCACACATTATACTGGATGTTTCACAAAATTTAAACAAATGTGCCTTTTTTTTATTACCATAGTTTCATTACTTTTATTTGAAATCAAACTGAATTCAAATTTATGAAGAACAGAAATATTTAATATTTTACCTTTTAACCTAAAGAAAATCAAAACAAAACGAGTAGAAAAGAAAGATCTATGTTGTGACAAAATATCCTAACATTAGTTGATCACTTAATAGTACCAAGTGTCTTGTTTTCTATTGTCTATCGATTGATCCTATCGATCAAGTTATGAATTAATGGCTAGACAATCGTCAACACATTTAGAAATAGGTTAGTTGAGATTCGTATGGTTTAGTGATAACACCTGTGATTGTAACACTTAGCGACATCAATTTATAACTCCACTGGGAGCATCATTTTACAAAAAATGTCAGATATGCCTTACTAAAGAATGCTAACTAGAATGAAAACTAAAGTCAGGGTTTCATACTGATTCTTTTCAAACATTGAAATCGATTTTCCATTATTATGTTATTGGATAGGTTTGAAACTCCCACATAATCCATATCTATCCGTTTTTTTAATAGGATAAAGAAGCCCGCACGTTTAACACAGACGTATTTTCTTAAATTCGCTTAAGTCTGGTTCTTGTCTGTAAATTTATTCCATCCTTATCTGAAATAGAGTTACAAATTTTCTTCTTCTGTGGAAAATAATCCAGTTCTGAAGTATGTAATTAATGGCTTTTATTTTTGTAACAACTTGAAATAAGTAAATTACCGTGAGAAAATGAACTGTTCTTTACTTTTCTTCAAACAATATCACTTCATCCTAGATAGAGTGTTTAGAAAAATTAGTTAACTTCTAAATATTTTGATCTTTATATAGGACTATTAATCAGAAGTTAGTTGATGAACAAGAGTTTAAATCCCAAACGCTTTACGCAGTGAAAGAAACATCACAAACAATTGATTTACGTGATTTTCACAGTAAATCACAATCATTTGATATGACCAGTGCAAAAGCTTCAGAGACAACAATAAAAGATACTGCCGCTTTACCACATTTACTATGTAGTTCAACTGATTTGGATGCGACTAATTTTGAGATCGCAGATGCAAGAAGAGGTTCTACATTGAGTAATTATTTCACACCAGTAATGTAAGTTCAACGTTCACTGATGATTGTATGAACTTTTGAATTAAATTTTTATTTCAATCATATTACTGCCCAAATTAGTGGTGAGTTAGATAAGTTCAGTTTAATAAATCATTATGGATCATAGATGGTACTTAACTGAAATTTTGTTATTAATAAATTCATTTGAGAATGTCCTTAATTAAATCAAATAAATGTATCTCTGTAACTATTTATTATGAAGTATCATTTAGGTAACTATCTGTTTATCAAACGAGTACATTAAATAATATTCCAAATCCAAATTATCAGTATTACTCAGTAAATACGGTAGTTAATACATAGTTTTTACAGCTGAATTCACGAGTCGATCTAAGATAGACAACCATAGAAAACCTGAAAGCACTGAACAGCCGTTTCGTTCTACTATGGGAACCCCCAGCAGGCAGCACCCACAGTCCCGCACTCGAAACTCGAACCCACTGCTGAGGGGTTCCTTATTAGAACGAAACAGCCGTTCAATGCTTACAGGCTTTCAATGGCTGTCTAGCTTAGATCGACTCATGAATTCAATTTTGAAAATACTACAATCTCCATAACTCCCCATACTGACAGCTTTTAATTTCTAAAAATATTGCAAAACCCTATTATCATAAAACAATCCTTATTTGTTTAGCACCTAAACTAGAAACTTCATTACTTTTATAACTAAATTGAATTGTTTCAAGATAACTCTAATGTTTATATTTGATTAATACACTGGGATGTTTAATTCATTGAAAATATATTTGATGGACATTTCAAAATCGATTTCGAACACAGAAAGATGGTTTTCCAAACAACATAAAGGAGAAAGTTAGCGTGAATCGTCAAATTCCAAATTAAAACTATCTAAGTGCTTAGAGAGAAGAGGAACAAGTAACTGACTGTATAGATTTTTGAATACAGATTCTACATTTTAATTTGGCATCACTTTAGACTAAATGAGGACAGTATACGTGAAGGAGATCTTGGAAATATTGATGAAGCTGAAGAATACGAAGAAGTTTTCAACCAATGTAGATCATACTTTATTTTTAAAAAATCTCTTATAAGTAACTTATTACAGATCCTGGCAGTATATATACCCCTCGTATTCGAAAAACTTCACAGAAATCTCGAGCACATATTAATGATTCAGCTGAAGTACGTTATATGGCAAAGTGAGTTGATCGATTATCACTATTACAATTATTATTACTATTACTTTTATTAGAGTTCCGCAGAAGAAAATGATATTATATTTTTATTTACTATCATAAGTTAGTAATTATTCAACGACATTTAGCTAACTGAAAGGTACTTACCATCACTATTTTAGGATATGCTTCGGTTATAATACGTTGGTAATAAATATGAATCCAAATATGTTCAGTGGCATCTAGAAGTCCAAGTTAACAAAGTATTCAGTGAAAAAGTACAGAGAAAGGGTACTAAGCACCCAAATATGCCAATAGAGTAACCTTTCTTGACGAAAGCACAATCAGAACGATTATGACTCTAAGTTTGTTGACAAATTTCAAAAAAAGTTTCATTAAAACTATCTTGAAAAATAACTTAAAAGTCCATTTTTATAAGTTACATTTATAATATCTAATTCACTTAATGAATAACTATTCTTTACAATTTAAAAGTTTGTTTAAAATTTAATATTATGCGTATAAACGCATTGAATAAGTCAAACTCCTATAAATACTTTTATAAATACAATTTATATCTATTTCTTTAACCAGATATTTAACTAATCACTAGAAATGTCATAGTAAATTATAATCTAATAATAATTTATCATTCTATTTGACACCAAATTCAAAATGAAAAGGTAGAGTTGTGTAAACTGAATGACTAGTAATGATATAGAATGATATTGATACTATACACTGAATTGACTAAAGTTGAACCTAAAATATACTGAACCCTTATTCAATAACTGGATATTATCTATCAGATTCGACAATATGGAAAAGATGGGTTTTGTATTGCTGAATAATTCTTAACGAGAACTAATCTACTGTTTAGTACTTTTCGATTTTTGATAACTGTGTCAATTGATGTCAATCTGTAATGAAAGCATTGTTTTATATTATAAATAACTATCATAACTATCGAACTGAAAATATTTTATTAGTAACTGCTGTTTTTAACTCATTTATACATGTAGTGGAAGAAGAGTTTCACCTGATGGAGCCTCCTACATGAGTTCAAATGCTGACTCGACCACTGTGAGTAGCCTTTCTGTTACTTGACATACAAACTAATGAATAATCTTTAAAGAGCAAAGTATAGATGCTAATCATTAGGCTTACATATATAGCTCGGTATTAAACCCTGTTAGAGGTAATATTCATTATAAATGAAGATTTGTTACTCGTTTTGTTTTCTAAATCCTTGTTCGTTCAAAAAGAAATATATGTCTACTTGTTGGAGTTTCAGGGTTCTACAAGGTTGTAGACAAACTTGATCTTATTAGAAAAATATGTACATTTTATTAGAAATAAATAATTATGGTGGTTACACAGTCCTACCGTATTATTAGATAATCGATTCACTGATATCATCTTCATCGGGAAACCTGAGGATACTGGATTTGGTTTTATATGAGGTCATTGATACAGATATCAACTGATGATAAACATTAGAAAGATTAACATACTTGAAAAATTCCTCCCGATAACATTACCAAACGTATCCCTCCTCTTTCGTTGCTACCTCTATTAAAACAAACCACAGCTTTCCGATAAGTAGAGATACCTGGGTTGAATTGAAGACATGTTATTTAGATACAACAACATAAATGATTAAAATTTTTAAAAAAATTAGTTACTTTTTGTCTTTTTTTTTTATTTCAATGGTTTTCTGACTAATATTAAGTGTGTATTAATAATTCTCTTCAGTTATTGATATGTTGTTATCCACTTTTCATTTTATTCATATTCTTTACCTATATATTTAAAAAGAATGGATCATTTGCTGAACGTGTCTACAAAGTTATATTTGTTGGTGATTCAGGTGTTGGAAAATCAAGTATTATAAGAAAATTTGTATCTGGTGTATTTGATTTAAATCTTCCATTAACTGTGGCAATTGATTTTCATGTGAAATTTATGCATTGCGATGGGACTAATTTGTATCTACAATTATGGGATACAGCTGGACAAGAGAAGTAAGTTCATATAAATGCATAAATATGTACATCTATAAGTGTATTTAACTATGTTTCTCTTTTCTATTTGCTAGCTCATATCAGTTTATCTTCTTTCTCTTTTCTTTTGTCTAAGCTTTATTTCATTCTTTACTTTTATTTAATAGTTAATAAATGTAAATATATGAGTCACTAGAATGAATACAACCAATCATATTTACACTTGAATATTATGGACCAATCAACTAGTGACTCATATACTACTTAAAATAGACAAATTCACAAGGTCACTTATTTTTTGCTTATGTTAAACACTTGATATACGGATAATGAAATGTATATAGCTTCAATTAGTATATTAAAACTATGTGTAATAGTAATGATTGTTTTGTTTCATACACATAGTTTCCTTTATTTTGAAGCAAGAAAATGTAAAGAATTGAGTAGAATAACATTCATTCATTCATTTTATTATGTTAGAAACTTATTAGCTACTGACAGTCTATAATATTTTAAAATCAAAATTACTGTAGAAGTTGATATATTTATGAGAATGGAGTCAACTACAAATGAATATCTACAGCGTGATGAAGAGAATATGTCAATAGAATTAATAGAACCATGAAAATTATTTGAGAGAAGTACAATGTGAAAGGGAATATTTCAAATTATCAAAACTCGTAATCAAATTATAATAAAACCTAGACTGGCGGCCACATTGCAACATGATCGATAGCATTCGATCTACACTAATAAGGACTAGACAAGCATGACATTGATCACCACCCAGTGATCAATCAATTGTGATTACATCTCAGTCTTACAGGAGGTCGGTCACGGCCCGGAAAGCTCAATGGTAACGTCTCTGACTGTGAAGCTGGGTGACAATGGATCGAGTCCGCCAGGGAACACCAGTTCCTTCAAGATTACAGGTACACCTTGCTGACGAGTGCCAAGTAGCACGAAACCCGGGTCAAGGGTTTCCTGTTGACTACCTCCAACCACCATCTAATCCTAATAAAACAAAAATTTTAGTATCTAATTAACTTAACATAGATTAATGGTAGTAAAAAATTAACATGAATTGAATTAGGTCAGTTGGAAATAAAATTATAAATTCAACAGAAAACAAAAGTGACAAAATAGAACTATGTGTTATAACTTGAGGCCTTGGATTCTAATAATCTATAACGTAATGATGCCGCCAACTAGAGAAAAGTGATTTATCGACCGGATCAATAACGTATAAAACCCATCTAGAGTCTTTACCCGTCCTGCTTTCTGCCTAGCCCTACCTGTTAAGTCCGGAATACCAATTTCAGCCTCTGAGATATGAATCATGTATTTCAAACATACTGAGTTTATATACAAACCAAACAAACTACATCGCATCACAAAATAGAAAACAACACTTGTACATGTGGCTGTGAATGTGGGAGATTGTAATTAATATACTGAGCATAATTCAAGAGTGGTAAATCGTAAAATAATAGTCTATGAGTCAAAATAAAGCTTATAATAAGAGAAACATGAATATGTATAGTTTAGCTACTTAACAATTATACAGTGGAAATATATGTATCGTATTGATCCATAAATAGTTTTCAAAAGTTACCATTCATAATTCTCGTCAGGATATAACACTATGGGAAAGGGTTTAAATGAATGGTGATGCAATAAAATGAGTGTAATTTTACGACGGTACATAAGGGTTTATCACTGTTTCTTCCTGATTACACAAGTTCACTTTCAGACGTTTGATACTTACGGCCTTAGAGAATATAGGAATACTAATATTATTAATAACCCTGAAAGACTTCAGCGTACCAACTCAACGTCCTATGTCAAGATGCCTTGAAATATTACTCTTGAAAGCCTTTGATCTGTTTGATCTCAGGACTCAGACCCTTGTATCTGCTCCCCAAATTTAATTGCTGCGGTAGAGACATATAATTTCTTAAATGCGATTGGCGATGACATTAATGAAGTATCTGTCGATCTTTGATTGAGTTGATGAAGGCTTGTTTTTGTACAAGAAAATCAGTCTAACTACAGTTCATGTTCTGGTTAATAGAACTTTTAGTCTTCCATCGATATTCCCTGTAATGTTTTCTGTCTACCATAGTTCCTTTCGGTTTTTTATCTTAAATTTTTCCATATTTCTCAATAAATTGCTAGGGATATCTGTTTTTTAGACATTTTAAACATTTATCAGTTTCACTTTTAGTGTACCCTCAATGTTCCGTGAAATAGTGTTTAGACGAGTAAGTTTTAGTAACTGACGGGATTTTCCATCAAAATAAACCATCTACTTACCAGAAGTGTTTACGTCATTCATACTCTCCACAAGTTCAAATGAATCTTTTAATAAACATATAGCTAGCAGGTGATGAAATGGCTTTTATTGCTCAGCTAATCAGGGGTAACTTTTCAGTAACATGAATTAGCCATCGACAAAATACATTTAAATGAAACAGCTTGAAATGAAACGGTCTAGTTCTTGTTACTTTTATCTACCTTGCATCTTGAATGTTCAGAAGGACAAAATCTGAACCTTTATCTGACTGAAATATCACTACATCAACATTTCGCTCAAGGTTTCTTGATGCTGTCAGGTGTTCTTTAGATAAAAATTTTAATGTCAATGTGGGCGAAATGAGATATTGGTTCTCGATATCAACTAGCGTTGATTTTAACCAGTCCTTATTTTCTTCATTCACTCTAAACAAATCTTTCAATTAATCAAATAGATTTTCAAATTGAATTTCTGTCTCTATCCTGATGATAATTGTTTAAAAGATATAAAATTTTAATCCTAGTAATATAGCTCCTGTAAAATAAATTTCAGAGAAGACTTTCAGATTGCTTTATTAATGTACATATCCAATAGTTTAAAGTATTTGTGTGATTACGATTAATGCACCGGTAAGCTTTATTCTCAGACATCTAACTGAATGATCAACAGAATAATCACCCTAGTTTAGAACCTCCGAATTCGGGATAAAAAGATATATTTGTAGCATAGTTTCATACCATAAAAAGATGTCATCTGAGCAAAAAGCAAAAATGTTATTGAGATGTTCACTACTTAAATATTGTAACAGTTTAATATGTATGCTGAACTCTTAAACTCTGTCTAACCTCAACTAACTCACCATAATTCTTAGTTCCACAATATTTAGTCTGTCTGTTCGTTTGTGGATTTAGGGTCAACACAAATTTCCCTATTGTTAGTTGGATGAATTCAATTGGTAGGTATATCTGAAAGACCTTGATTTTGATGTTCAAAAAAGTTTGAAGTGGTTTGTTACCTTGAAGAGAAACAACATACAATCTAATATAAATGCTTGACAGCATTACTAAAACAAGATGAAATCAATAGAACAATATACATTAAAGTGAAATTAATAAAAGAAATGGTAAGTAGTAAAACAAACGTGAGATAACAAAATGAAGAATAAAATTTAGATTCATAATAATAAGACATTTGACATTTATAAAAATTTAAAGAATACAAACCACTACATCGCTGAAGCCAATTTGTTATAACATATTTCGATAGTATCCACCATGGATTACATTTAGTTATAGAGTACCAATTTGTACACAGCGCAAATCACTTGTTATCCTAAATTGATTTCATAAAATATTTAGTCAATTTTTCTAATCATAAAAAATTTCCATCAAGATGCATTCACTAAATAAAAAGTGGTGTTTTATAGGCCTAATGCTAATAATTCCATTCCTTCGTTGGTTGAATTTTAGTAGTACCCTATGCTACTTAAAAATAGAAAGTAGCCAGTTTTGTATCTACGAATTTCCAAAGTATATATTTTTATTCTCCACCCCTTTCAGTTACTTTGTGATCAGTGCTTGTTTGTACTTTACTTATCTTGAATAATTCATTCGTTTGCGGACTCTCTGATTGACTTATTTTTAGCAAGGTTGTTTTCTATGAGATAAGATTGCTAACCCCATCCCCAACCCATCATCCGGGCTTGGGACTAGCAGCAATCTTAGATAGGCAACAGGTCGAAAATGATTCTTAATTATTCTTGCTGGTACAGTCATTCGTTCCATTTTTAATTATTGGTTCAACCAACATTTAACAGTGCTCTTGATTACTTATTTGATGCGTAAATATTTTATGATTGTAGTTTTAGAATTACTATCATTTATTTGCTAGCCAAACATAATAACTCACCTTTAGATACCTTGATCAACTAATTTCGTGACTCATTCATGTGATTAGTACAGATTACGCAGGAAATTTAATTCCAATTGATTGGGATCGAAAAGCATATTTTATTCAGAAGTCTATTATGTTTTTAGTGACATTTAATAACTATTTGGTTGGAAAAACAATGAAAGACGACATCATCACATGATAATAATAAACATTATTGTTTATTTAGAGTACATAGTGTAATATCATGCTAATCAGCGTCCAGTCTTGAGAATATACTTTTTACGATCAGTGGATGAAATACATAAATGTTAATATAGTTCGAACAGTCGGCAGCTTCAGACATTCAGTATAAACAGTTCACACGTCAAACAGGAGTTCATTTTCCTTTATTAGAGCTTAAACGCTTCCTCAGTTGAATTCTACAGGAGTTATGTCATCAATCTACTTTGATATATTAATGCCACAGTAATTCCTCTAGTATAAAGGCAAACATTTATTGGTACCTATTCCTTAATCCTCAATGAAAAAACTAGTTGTTGTAACTCGTTAATCTAGTGAACAATTTTCTGTTGTCGAGTACCAGTAGGAAAACTGAACATCCTTAGAAAACAGATATGTCAATTCAAGTTTAGAAGAAAAGATTATCTGAAATTTCGCTGATGATCACAACCAATACGTTCATCAGCGTAAATACAATTGATTCTATGATAAGTATTGTTAAGAGATTTTTTGCACAAATCAATTACTTAGTTTGCAGTTTCATATAGATCCATAAATAAAAGTTATTTACAGTTCAGGATTAACATTCAACCACCTATCGTATTGACTGTCTATGTACATATAGAGTTGATATGACTACTACACAGTTCACTAAATTTGTTAATTTGTTAATATACATGTGAATTATAAAATTACAACTATTATGACGAAAATAATCATATACATGTAATATGCGAACGAGTTGAAAAGTGAAATTTAAACATTTCTGGTGAATAACGTAAGTCCTTTTTTCTGTGACTTACATTAAACTGTGTAACATCAAAAGTTCAACATTCTACCAGCTGTGACACTACAAATAAATTACCCTTTTCATACAATCGATTCAATCGACGCTAAATTTATTTGAAATTATCAGTTCCAACCTCAGGAGTGATACGGTTTCATTTACTAAGACAATTAAATTCTCTAGAAAAGTGAAAATATACAGTTATTCTTTTTTGGAGATTGTCTATAATCAATGAAGTAATTTTAATCATAAAGTGATCTCAGCTAATGAACTATTTTAAAAATTATTCGAAATTAGTGGTAAAATATCTCATATTGACTAAGAACTCTTCACCAGTTTACATTCAAAACGCTATACGGGATAGAATCCAGTACAGTCACATTTAACACAAAACACCGCATTACTCAACCACTACATAGTGACCTATATTTACAACTGTCGCTTTTCAGATATAATTACGTTTTCAATTAACTCTGTCTTACTGTTGTAAACGAAAGTTCATGCATTAAATTTGTTATAGAGTGCTTATTTATTTATGTATTTATTGGCGTTTAAACTGATGACTGATAGATTTTATTTTCATTAGGATCATTCATACTAAACTAGTAGGGCCTCCAAATGCCTTGATACGGCAGAGAATGGGGAGAGTCAGCTCTCCCTCTCGAAATGCTCTCACATGGCCACGTGCATTCAACCCCTGCTATGGAAGTCCTACTCATCGCCTTCTCACGGCGGGAGTGTTGTTTACGAAATTGAGAGGACGAAAAGTGAATGTCCGGATTGGTGGAAATGGAGAGTCCACCTAAGGGGGTTGGAAAACCCTGATTCTAAATCAACGGTCCACATGGGCTACCATGGGACTGTATCCGCTGACGTTGCTCTACTGCCTTGTGGACCAGACCTTTGGGTCAAAGGCTCCGAGTGTAGCCCCCTGAGAAAACCAACTGCTTCGGTTCGAGCACTCGGGCAGTATCCCAACCCACACATAAATCATTCGATTTATGTGGCACATATCTATTTGGTGCCTCCTTCTACCAATGTTAATGTGTTTGAATAAAATAATAAAACAAATTTGATAATTAGCAGGTAATAGATCAAAGCTTTAATTCTAAATTTTATTTTCCAATTAGTGTCAAACCTTATTTGTTAATAATGTTTCAACTCTAGCATTTTGAGAAAATTATACTTAGAATTACTACAGGAGTAGATATTCTTACATAAATTTTTTTAAACAAATGAATTATATGAAACACTTACATGTAAGCTCAGATAAATTATGTAAACATGGTTTTCTTAATCTACTGTAGTTTTCCTGAATCTTAATATTTAATATTAGATTAGCTCTTATGGTTTCGAAGATTACAAAAAAATAAACTTGTATACCATATATTTTGTTTGAAAGTGATTTCTATCACTAAAGCTATTTGTAGTACAGTAATTATTTATCTTATTTTGAAGCATCCTGAGACTAGTTTCAGCCTACAAACTTATTAAACGATGGAGAAAATAATAAATCTCATAGACGATCATTGGAATGGAACCAGAATCTCCCCATCATGCTTTTACTACAGAAGCTGAATGAATTGATCCAAAATAAAAGTCGACTATAGTTTTATTTTAAAAGTAGAAATTATTATGAATATGGTTCCCTTCTCCGATAACATTCGTTTACTAGACAGGTTTATATGATCTTGAAATTCTTCATAATCCTCATATCTTTACTAAGTCATAGAATTCACTCTTTTTTTTAAAAGTAAACATGAACTCCAATAGTTCGACCATTTTATAACTGTATTCACATATAATAATGAATGTTCAAGTTTATTACAAAACCTTATTTACAATAAATGGAATCCCTTTAAATTGTGATTAGAAAGAAATACGGAAGAATAATATGTTATATACAAAAGATATAAAATACTTTCTCAAGTGATATAAGTAAAGTGTTTATAAAAATCTCTAACCTACATTAAAGTACATTATTAGTGGGAAAAATCACTAGATTTTTTCTACTTAAATTTAAAATTAATTTGGGCTAAACTAAAGAATATCGCAAAACCAATCAAGAACAAACAATCAACAATATGATAATCAGCGTCAGTCAAACGCATCGTTTATTTAGCAATAAAGGCAATGAGAGTTTACGATTGATCTCTTCATGAAGAATTTTAGTATAGAAAATGTCATAATAAAATGTTCACTGAACGTTGGAATGTCAAAGAAAACACTAAAATGTGAATGTGTATACGGAAAGATATTTAATTTATATTCAGAAGTACGAGATGCATTGATATTTCATTGTAATCTATGAAGGGTGTGAAAGTTGGGTTTAGGCTGTTACGTTAGAGCGCCTATAGACACCTTCAAAAACGATCTTATTCATGTAAAATTAGTATACTTTCAATAATTCTTTCATATTCTACAGATAATTATTTATTTAGTTTCTCTATTTTCTGTTTGGATAAACTGCGTCAAAATCTCAAAATCGTTCTGCATTATTCTATAGGTTCACTGATCACGTAATATCTTAGGGAAGCGTATTCGACTTATCAATAGGTTTAAATGAATATGAATTAGACAAAACTAATGATCATTATCATTATTGTAGGATCCATTCGAGAATTAAAACTGAATAATCGAGTTACATGAGAACATCTGTGGAATAAAAGTTCAAACAAATTTAGAAATCTATTGCCATTATTGAAAACTATTAAAATACTAATTGTTTACAAACTTTAGATCAAGACTTGCATGGACATCAGTTAGCCTTATGAGTAAATATTTAAAAATAATGTGCCTCAAAAAAATCAGAAAGTAAACTAGTAGAAGAATCATCCAAAATGATTAGTTTTTAAGTGTACTTAGTACAAGTAATAATAAACAATGAGTAAAAGCCAAAAGACAGTACATAAATGGTTTTTGTACATATATTCTCAGCTCAAAGAATACAGATCATCTTATGCCTTTTTGCAGGATCCAACAAGATTCTATGAATGATACCAAGAGGATCTTGAAACCACTATAAACCAAACGTTGTTGAGTACAGCTGTTGACATTTCCACATTAACTTGCCTGGTTCTGAAAGCCTATAGTCACAGCCTATGTTCGTATTTCGAATATGGTCAAGTAATTTTCTTCAAAAGTAAATTCACCATTGAGTGATTGGTGGAAATTAACTACAAGATGGCTGCTTAGGGTGCTTTGTTAAGAGCTCATATTTGTGTGTTCTAGAAATTATTTGAACTTTTCTAACTACTTCTAAGCAGTATAACCTTTTGAAGTAAAAACATAACTTACTTTGACAAACTTGCAGATTCAGAAGTATTACACGACAATATTATCGTAAATCAGATGGTGTAATTATTGTGTTCGATGCAACTAATGAATCAAGTTTTTTAGCCGTCCGTTCATGGCTTCAATCGGTTACCGAAGAAACAGACGAGAATACCGTTATTTTAATTCTGGAAAATAAATCTGATCTCATTGAAGAAAATGATAATAAACGTGCAGTATCGCGAGCTACAATTGATAAAATTGTTCGCGTAAGTTCTTTGTGTAGCAGTGATTAAAATTAAGATATTTGCCAGATTACCGAGAATTCTTTATATACCACATAAACATTTAGTATTTCATATTATAAGGACAATGATTTCGCGAAAACTCTATGAGTATTGATTCATGGAATTTGCACTGGTAAAAGTACTCAGCATATATATATATATATATATATATATATATATATATATATATATATATATATATATATATATATATATATATATATATATATATATATGGTGACTTAGAGCAGTAAGTGCTACTAATTTGTATTTTAACCTAAGTAATTGATTGGATTCTTTAGTGGGGTGTATTTTTGTGCTTATTATAATAGATAATTTGTGGTCACAGGGAATTTGTTAGTGAGCATTCAGACGTCTTAGTGGCAGAAAAACTAAAGAATATTTGTAACTAGTGCTTCAGCGATTTTAACGATCTACGCTGGTGGTCACAATACTACTGACATGATAATTTTAACAGTATACTTATGGTCACTTTACTGTGGAAAACTTATTATAGGCAAGCTGCATTGAGTTTGGGCTCGCTACTTTTGTAGTCCAAGTGCTCAACAACTTTGTAACCTGAATCATGACTCTAATTAATAAGGATGAAATATATATAATTTCATTTTTCATACTTTGGCTAATTGCCTTTTTACAACGGTGGTATTTAGAAGTCAGATGAGAAATGCTGCTAGAAAATCATATTTCGTGCATTCACATGAGCAAAAAACAATAAGCCCAATGAATAGAGGAAGCTTAAGCGGTTGGCCATGCGCTCATACGAGCCTTCAAACGGCCTTATGAATAGTAAAAGAAGTCAGCGAATATGCTAAGTGGACAGGCCCATACAACAATAACAAGCCCTCTGCTAACTATGCATGAATACATATAATACAGCCAGCCGATATATTCAATATTAAAAATGACAATCCAAGTTTCGCATTAGTATTAGGTTTTGTACCGACCTCCACAAGGCCTTACACCAAACTATAATGTCATGTTGTGATTTTGTAAATTTGGTCGTGTCATGCTTCAAGTTAATAAAATTTTGCTGAAATCTATCCCCTGCGCTGAGTATTTTTTGTATTTTTGAAGAAAATGAAAACCTCCAGCTTTCTAGGACAGTCTGTACATGAATAATGATCTTTACTTATTTAGAATTTAAAAAATAATCTAGTTGTCTTCACCTTTTTCACCAAGGTTGATATGCATAATTCATCTGTGCGGTATAATCCCGAAACAATTTTACTTAACAAATTACTTCTTTCGAACTTAGATTTAAAGTAGATTCTAAAGGTTAGGGTTAATAAACTCAGAAAACAGCTCAAAAATGCTAGAAACTGAACGTTTATTGAACACTGAAAAAAGATGGATATATTCATACCATAAAACTAACACCAATATTTGGAGTGATTTCTCGAACATTGCACGAAAATAAATTGTTCTTCATTTGTCAACTGGTTTACTTGGCTACAGTATTTTCTTTAAATATGGATATTTCATCCTGGTCAAGTTCGAATCCTAAAATAATTTGTATCTTAACTAAAGATCATCTTCAACTCAGATTTGTATGCTTCCCCTTAATTGTATCAGAAATGAATTTTAATTATTAAATCTACAGGTATATAAAACAATGTGCTTTGAAGTCAGTGCAAAAACTGGGCACAATATAGAAGAGGCGTTTATGGTTATGGCAAGGTAAAACTATTTAATATTACTCGTTTATTATGTGTGAACATATAATTCCCAGTATATTGTAAACGAATTCATTTCATAAGACATCTCTTCCTATCGAGTCCTATGTTATGATGAAGCAGAAAGAAAAAACTGTTTCAATTCATCCAAACCCTTTTTGCACTCAAATGGAAGCTTAAAACATTCTTCGGAAAGACTATGACTTATAGACAACGTTTGAGCGATACTAAAGTGGTCTCAAAAAACTTTATCTACTTACTAGGGTCAAAACAGGGCTATTAATTACTGTGAGGAATTAAGATTATAGATCCCAGTTAGTAGCTATGGTTAGGAATTAAATTAAGTTTTCATCACGAATTGACATCAGCTATGAAGTCAAAATGTTATTTAGCTATTTAGGTAAATTAAACCAACAGTCATTATGTTAAATCGATTTATCCATGAGTTATAGTCCTGAAAAAATTTTAATGATATCGTTTAAATAAATCACTATCTAACTTGTTGAAATTGAAACGTTTTAAGTTTTAATAATTGTTACAAGCTAATTACTGACCATTTGATAACCACTATCTTCGGTCGTATTTTGGTAAAATATTGGTACCGATGTGGTTATTTGTTATGACCGCAGAATAAAACCGATTCAACTAACAAATATAACCAAACTACTGAATCAGATTTTTTCTTGTTCCTGACACCTCCCACAGTGGATCAGTTGTAAATCAATGGTGGGATCAATGTTTGATCCATAAAGATCTTGCATTTGAACTGAACACAATTTATTGAGGCAAGATGTAAAAGTTTAGATGAATCATTCATTTTATTTGAATAAGTAAAATGATTACCATCAAATTTATTAGATGACTTTAGACAACTTCAACGGATACTGAGAATTAGTGATTGGTCAATTAGTATTTTTCCTAAAGTATGGTCAGCTTTATAAAGTTGAGATCAATGGAAATTTTCGACAACATAAAGTCCCCACACATGATTATCATCACTTGATCTCAACTTCTTGAGGCGAGTAGAAACTATGCAGTTTACTGTATGATCTACCCCATTTAATCTTAAATAAATCGTCATTCTGCCATATCAAAAATAAACTCTCAATCTTGACAAATAGTCATACCAGTAGCAGTATAAACATTTTTTCAAAGTCAATAGCTATCTGTTTATTGACTGACAGATAACTATTCGTCGGATCAAGTTACATAAATACTTAGTGATTAATTAGTGGCTTTGATATGCTTATATGTGATCACATACCTACATCTGACTAGTAGTTCTACTTCATAAAATCAGAATTCGAACCATCTTAATATTCTATCAAATCTATGAGGAATTCCAAAAACAAACCGAAAAAAATATTGATTTCTTCACCTATTCACCAAAGTATACAATTACATTATCAAAGGAATAAAATAATAAATCATCGAGGTACAAGAAATGTTAAAGAAATGGTAAAGTTCAATCAGTTTTTTTATTTGAAATAAACAAACTGTTTAACCAATTACATTTATACGTTACTTGAATTAAAAAGATAATTGAACAATTGAACATACATGTATTCATATTAGTAATCTAATAAATCCTTCATCTATAATTAGATAAGTGATTAAAATAAAGAATAGAAAATTTAAAAATGAAGAATATTTGAGCGAACAATTGTTTTCAATAACTTCATCATCAGGCTCTACAGTTATATTTCCATAATTATCATATTTTACAAAGGCCAAAATAAGGCATTGATTAATGAATGAGACAATGTTATGTGTTAAAAATGGTGCACGTTTACATCTGTTACGATATATATATTACTTCAAAGTTGTATTATTTGCAATTTAGAAAGGTCATTCAATAAAAGTCAGGATGATTTGGAGTAAAGTGTTCAGTCTAATGGTTAAGTGCTCGCGCGCGAAGCCAGTAGGTCCTGGGTTCGAATCCCGCGGGGTACGGGTTCGTGGATGCGCACTACTGAGGAGTCCCATACTAGGACGAAACGGCCGTCCAGTGCTTCCAGGTTTTCAATGGTGGTCTTGCTTCAACTGACTCATGATTTCAATTTGTGAAAATTGAGATGATAATAATAATAAGATTGTTGTGTGAATATAATATGAAATAAGGAGGGTGTTATCAAGGTAATTACGATAAACGAATTGGCAATGATGGATGTGAAGACTAAGATAGAGATAATAAAAAATAATGATAATAAGGAAAAAGAATAAATAGATAAAAATAAAGGAAGGGTTTATGAGGTTTATGCTATTCAGTCTAGGTATTTGGTGGTCCAGTCGTAGGCCAAGGTAAACAAAGAGGCTGGATATATTTTTTCTAGATACATAAATTTGGTCTTCTGAAGTTCATCCAGATGGCTTCGGCTATGTAAAGTAGTCGTAATCTAGCTCCTTGAAGTAGATATTTTGGAACTTGAAATGAAACAGAGAAAGCTTCTTCTATTTTGATATGATGTTCATTATTATTATGGGCTTATAACTGTAGAGCCTGATGATGAAGTTATTGAAAACAATTGTTCGCTCAAATATTCTTCATTTTTGAATATTCTAAGGCGATTTTTAAACTGCTGAAATAGAAAATTTCAAAATATAGTTTATATTTATTTCTTTATTTATTAAGGAAACTTAAAGAAAAAGAAGTTTATGAACTTCAAACTCTTCAAAATTTAAAGAATGATGCAAATATTAAGAAGAATACATGTTGTCGATGAAAAATCAACAGAATATTTAAGGAAGAAAACAAGAAGAAAAAAGAGTAAATGTGGACTATGTAAACATATACAATCAGATATAATACATGTACACGTACATATATAAAAATCTTATATGTTTTTTTTGTTTAAATCATTTTCGTACATATTTCACTTAAAATGGGATAACTTAGGTTAGAAGTAATTTGAATCACTTCGTTACATGATTATCGTTTCAAACTAGAAGGGACCATATTACTTCTAACATAGAAAAAATTACTTTACATATTACGAAACTTTTAAATTCTTGACATTTTGATAGTCATCAAAAATCTGTCATTTCCCGATTGTTATTTCTAATGATTAATTCATTACTTGATTATTTTTCCTTCATCCGTAATCTTACATGATATTGTTTTTTTTTAGTAATTCAAAAGTAAATATGAATAGTTTATTGAAAGATAAGTGGAATTACAATATATTGTGCTTAGATATATGAACATCATTAATTGTTATAGACCATAAATATTACTGAATCTTCCAAAGTTTAAACAAATGGACATTATCGTCAATTTATGCATAAAATGTATAAATAAATAGTATATTTGTAATATCTCAATGAGTAGAAAAATAGGATTTTCTGACGTTTCCATGGCTTAGTGTAAGTCCGTTGTACTATTTAAACTTGGATTAAATTTAATTTGGTTATTTATTCTTTGAAGAAGTGACTTACATTAAGCCACGAAACATCAGAAAATCTAATTTTTCTACTCCTTGAGATATTACAAATATACTATTTATTTATGACAATCTACCCAATGCACAATTTATTCGAAATTATCAAATCAAACCTTGGTAATGATACCTAACTTCTCTCAGAAAACAGCAAATAATATTTATGATTGGGCACTTCTCCAAACAGTAATTCTTAGTAGAAAAGAATGGTGTCATAAATAAATGCAAGATTGTCAATTGAGTTATTTTGCTAATCCATTAAAAGCGTTACTTGTTTTTACCTATACATTCTTTGCAGTTGAGCAGTTTAAAATTACGACAAAAAGTACTTGTCTATGTAAGTAGTCATGTGAATAGTTAGTTGTGTTCGTCAATTAGGCTTGATATTTTTTGCACGTATTGTCAACAGCATATTTGCAGTTTAAAAAAATCTCCATAGAATATTCTATGTTGTTGAATAACAAGTTTTGACAGGTATTTGAAATATTGATTACATTACATGCAAAATGTAATAAGAGTTTCGAATACCTGTCAAAACTTGTTATTCAACAACATAGAATATTCTATGGAGATTTTTTTAAACTGCAAATATGCTGTTGACAATACGTGCAAAAAATATCAAGCCTAATTGACGAACACAACTAACTATTCACATGACTACTTACATAGACAAGTACTTTTTGTCGTAATTTTAAACTGCTCAACTGCAAAGAATGTATAGGTAAAAACAAGTAACGCTTTTAATGGATTAGCAAAATAACTCAATTGACAATCTTGCATTTATTTATGACACCATTCTTTTCTACTAAGAATTACTGTTTGGAGAAGTGCCCAATCATAAATATTATTTGCTATTTTCTGAGAGAAGTTATTACTATTTTGCTTCATTTACCGATCGTTAACGGTTAGCGTGATTTATGCATGCCCTATTCATTACTTTATCATGATGATTTATGGATATGGTGCTACGCATATAACGTTTATTAAAATAACATACGATGTGTTAAGAAAAAACTAATGGAAATACTTCGATGAATAATTTCTTTATTAATTGTGTACTAAACATTTGACCACCTTTCAACGTCAGTTATTACTATCATCAACTATTAAAACCAGTTATAAGTTTTTTCCAAAATTCTCTTTTAATGATCTAATCCACGAAATTTCTATAAATCTCAATTGATTATATTGCTTAATCACTAAGGCTTAGTTAGAATTCATTGATGTTGGTTCAGTTGACCTTTCCTATAGAAATGATGTCGTTGTACTAGTAAACTGGTAGTACTACATTCGCCTATAGTAACTAACTTTATGACAAAACACTGAAACATTCTGAATAAGTTTCGCATGTACAATTGTTAGACAGATTAGTGTTCATTAGATGACATTTCCTATACGAAATCGTTTACTTAAACCGTATATTCGACAATGCTTAAAAAGCGTTTACGAATACGTAGGTGCTAATCACATAATGACTATTAATCTTAAATGGATTTTGATGGTTTGATCACTTGACCTTTGCTATGGAAATAAGGAATCGAAACAAAAGAATTTAAATCAAGTTGTGGGTGGCCCTGAAAAGGGCCTTTACTCGTTCTCTTAACAGTTCCGAGTTTCATGAACAAAGGCGTTGCTATTATTCCATTATAGTTCCGTACATGGGACAGTGGATTCCATGGACGTGTGTTGATGGGTCGTAGGCACAAAATAAATGAAGCATTGCTTCGCATGGACAAAAACTCAGGTACTTCCATCAGCAGTTTCATGTGGCGGTTGCACAAGATTGCAAATATCATAAAGTCTGTTGTCATACGCGTCTTCGTCATTGTCTTCCTCTCGTTCAGTGAACTCCTCTGACCTAATCGAAACAATTTCTTCCTCGTCATTCCTCAACGTTGCATCCATATCGACATTATTTTGACAGTTGGTAACTTACAAAATACGAAGGAAGGACATGGAGTGTTTACGGTAGTCCTTAATGAAAAATTAAAATAACACTAATTAAATTACCTCGTTCGTCTACTCGGGTGTGAAGAACCGCTAGATGTTCTACGACCATTTCTCCAACATACGAATCTAATATACGGCTTCCGATCTCTATGTAAATGAGAATCCCTCACCACATAATGGCAGTACGCAGCTGTTTCATAAGTTCTTATGGAGCTCGTCAAGTGATTGAGACGTTACGACGTACAATGTGCTCAAGAACGAACAGGTTATCGGTTTCTGTGACAACGTGAGGAACGACAGAGCTCGCGTTCTGCATGTTACCACCGTCCATAATTGTGAGAAAATGTGCTCTGTTGTCATGTCCTGATATTTTATATCGATTTGAAGAAAAAAACGACCAATTATAACGAACTCAAAACTAGTTATTTGATTGGACGAAACAGAATGAAAATTATTGGAAGATGGGGCTGAAAAATTTTTTCAAAAGGGATGAAAAAAAATTTCACTCGAAAAAAAAATACAAAAATGGCTGTGCAGTAAATGTTTTCCCAAAAAGTGGCTGTGAATCTGGGAGGCAGTAGTTAATAAACTGAACATAACTTAAGAACCGTAAATCGTACAATAATAGATTATAAGTCAAAATAAAGCTTATCATAAAAGGAATATAAATATACATAGTGTAATTGTTGAATAGTTATACAATAAGAATATTTATAGAATATTAGTCCATGAATAGTCCCTGGAAGTTACCTGTAATTTAATCTTCACCGGATATAACAGGTATGAATATTGATGTTAATTTGTAATTATTGTCAAAAACTAATACTATAAATTTGAATAATATAGAAAAATGCATTGAATAACTAGATGTGGTTTAAATGTTTACAGAAAAATACATGATGCTAGAAAGAAATGAATGTTCTGACAGCGAATTGAGATGCTATACACAATGAATATAGTATGTGTATGTTTATGAAGTGAGACGAACACAATAATATTGATTTGTACATTAGAATAAATGCTTGTTAAGACTTAATTTTTCCTTACTGTATATGAACTAGTAATCCATCGATTTCAAATTTTCTAATCTTCTGGTTATTAGGACTGTGATAGATGCCATTTTTCCACCTTCAGGCATTACATTGAGACTAGTGAATTTTTTTCATCTATGAGAGTTAGTTTTCCATTATAAATGCATTAATTCTCCAAGTGATGTATTTTTTGAATATTAATTTTTTCTAAAACTGAAATGTACTGGTCTTAATTGCAGAAAATCTATGATTTTACCAGTCTGTGTACAACAGACTACACTGGGTGGAATGCAAATCTTATTCACCAGTTAGGTAAAAAAACATATTGAAATTGCTAATTAGACATAAAATTTTACTCGGACGAGAACTAGATCCAATTTTGGTGGTGAAACAGTTGAATATTTCAAATCGGTTCATGACCTCAATCAAAAAATTCTGTGAGTTATTTTTTTAGAACTGCAGTATCACGATTTGGCAAATACCTTTCACTAACATTTAGATATTAGTTCTGTAAGTTAAATCTACTCTACTCGTGGCAAAATTTAATGTTCACTGAACAAATCTACGACGACCGAGACCCAAAACGTCCGATTCATATATAAAAAGTCGAAATAACTGTTGACTACGCAGGAGGAATGCTTCACAAAGTACACTACATTCACTTGAGTAACGATTTCTGACTTTTAACTGATATATTATATACACATGATGAGCTAGTAACCCCAAAAGTCAAGTTACTAAGGTGAATAAGTATATTCTGAAATGAATGTTTTTTTAAAAAAATAAAATCAACATTGCCTTACTAGTCAATTTTTTTCCTGACTACCAAGTGTATGTGGACACATAACGAGATTTACTGAAATATACTCTTACAGTTAGGTCCATACTATCTATAGTGTATGCAGAACAACAAAATATTGTGGTATTTTTCTAAGCTCTGTATGCCTAGTAGAAATGTTATTCAGAAGTAACTTGTATAGTCATATACTTGACCATGGCTCATAAGCTTTAAACATTTATTCACACCAGCTAAGGTAACCTGATCATGGTATCATTGAAGGCTGATGACTTCTGTGACACTGAACTTGTCCGTCACAAGTGCCAAGAACTTCGAAAGGCATATTTGCAACATTGAAAATGTTTTTAACATTTGTTCAATTTGCCTAGAAAAAAGTAGGATGACCACTAATTATCCCAATATTATTCACTCCAACTGGTTTTCTGGATAAAGTTACAGGAGTTAATTCGCTAAACAATAAGCCATTTAAGGATTAATCTTTTTGTTCTGACTACCCTTAAAATAAG